AGAACTTCATCTAATATGTACATGAAGGATCTGGAGTTTCAGAACTAATCCCACCAAGCTATTTCTACATTTCCTCTTACTGTATATAAAGAAACATAAAGCAACCTTGTGAAGAAACAGAGAAATTTTAAAAGGCAATGTAACATAGAGAAATGGATATTTCCACTATCTCCATCTGGTCTACTATTGTTTTTCACAATTCCTTTTCCTTATCTGAGGAAAAGAGATGGCCCACTAAGAAGAGGAGGAGTCCTTTGAGTAGGAAAAAATTCTCAAATCCTTTTTCTCTTATATTCATTGCTAACTGCATTGTGTCAATTTGTGCTTTTCCCAGATGTGTCTTACACAACCTAATGTCTGAAGCTTAGGATTGCCAGGGTGCCAGGCTCCAAACAGATGGGAACACAGTCAGTGCTGAGTTTCTCTTCTGGGCACCATTTGTACTCTGTTTTCTCAGTATCCCATTTCATGCTACCACAAGCCCAATTTCAAAGAAGAAACAGTAAAGCAGGAGAGATTACCACCTTCTGCTGGGAATCTACACATAAGAATGTTGAGATTTGGTCTCACTCTACAGCTGTTTTCTGTGCAAATGGTCATGATCCAGCAGAATAAAACAACAATCCCGGTTCAGATAATAATACAGAGTGTTCTGAAGGCAAGTACCCACTTACAGAAGCATGCAACAAGTCGTATATCCCCATGAATACCGTGTGAGGAGTAGCTCTTACAGCCCTTACCTGCACCAGCCTTACGCAGCCCAGCATCACCATCTTTGAACTGGGATTTCTGATTTAGCTGCAGTACCAACACACAGCAGGTGTAGGTAGCCAACTGGATGCTGACAGCATCAGCGGTTCATCAGTCAGTGAATAATGTCTTTGTGGCTTGCTTCACTGGGTGACTGGTCAGCGCTAGAGAGATCTGACACCTGACAGTCCTACAGAGAGCGTGAGCTGTAATGCAATGTGACTTTGCCTTCCAGCTTGTGCTTTATGGCATCTTCTTGTCAGCAGTGCTGAAGTTATTCAAACCATCAGTATTGCCAGTGCATCCAGATTTCCCCATCATTTTCCAGTGTGGTCAAGTCTCTTCTGAATTTGAATATGTGTCTTCAAGCAAGGAATGGATAAGCTCTTAAACAAAAGTGGTTGTATGAATGTCCATGGTAACAATGGAAAAGAGAGGGGTAGAGTGGAAAATATGAAGCAGGCTGAAAATCACTTCAACATAACAGATCCTGCAAAAGAATAAACTACTTGCTGGCCTGTAATATTGGAGCTGAAGTAATGTGTGAAGGCTGTTTTTATGGTGAGCCATATCAGTGGTGCAATCCTGCAAAAACCTGAAGGTTTAATAATTTCTGAGCATTCCGAAGATATTGGTTCAGGACACAAGTCACCTGTAGATGAAGCCCAACATTGCCCCCTTGTTACCAAGTATACTAAATTGGGTTTTCCATCTCCAGTAGGAAGTATATTTTTGAATATCATTACTTGAACAAAGACAGCATTAGCAAGTCAAATGATTCTGCATAAGTATTTTTTTTAAAGGAGGCCACAAAATTATGCTTTTTATGCAATTTGGCTCTTTTTATTCATTTAAAAGAATCAAAGTGAATTCTAAAATTCAATTTCAGAATCAATTTCAATTATTCTAAGACAATTTTTTATTAGTGGAAGAAGGGCTCACAAATAATATCTCATCAATAGACCAGTTCAGCACGTGATTCTGATCTTTGTTCACATTTTAAAGGTGTAAACATCATTGTATGGTAAAACTGTATCTCTATTCCCCAACTGTCCAGTTAAAACAAAACGCAAACTAAAATTGGTGTGCATATGAGCTTAACTGGGAGATTACTTGTGAAGGAAAATTTGTTTTATTTTCATCAGTCCCAAATCTTTAAACATAATCTAGAATATAGCATTCTATATTTCTGAATACATTAAGAATTAAACTCAGATGAAAAACAAAAAGGGAAATGTATTCCATGTTAAACTCCCAATAAGACCATAATTTAAGGGATTGCATTGATTTAGAAAAAAATTCTGCAAAAGAATTTAATTTTTTATAAGAATTACTTTATAATAATTTCTTTCAGGAATAGGTTTCATTTATATGTTTTATTACTTCTTAGAATTTTTTATTTAATTTTAAAATAAATTTTATCAAAGCAATTATCACTTATTATAATCATAATGACTAAAAACTATCTGGTCTTTAATGTCACAAAATCAAATTTGCACTTATCTTTAAAAAGGGTAAAAAGGAGGACCCTGAGAACTACAGACCTGTCAGCCTCATCTCTGTGCTTGAGAATATCATGGAACAGATCCTCCTAGAAATTATGCTAAGGCACATGGAGGACAGAAAGGTGGCTGGAGACAGCCAGCATGGCTTCACCAAGGGCAAGTCCTGCCTGACCAACCTAGTGGCCTCCTATGATGGACCAACTACATCAGTGAAAAAGGGAAGAGCTACAGATCTATCTGTACTTCTGTAAGGCCTTTGACACAGTCCTCACAACATCCTTCTCTCTAAACTGGACAGATACAGATTCGAAAATAAGAAAATATAAAATTATACGATTTTATAGAATGATACAGACAAACTTTTTAGTAGGGTCTGTTGTGATATGAAAAGGGATAATGGCTTTAAAGTAAGAGAGTAGATTTAGACTATATATGAGGAAGAGATTTTTTATTATGAGGGTGGTGAGACACTGGAACAGGTCTCCGAGCAACTTGATCTAGTTGAAGATGTCTGAGATCATTGCAGGAGGATTGGACGAGATGACCTTTAAAAGGTCCCTTCCAACCCAAACCATTTTATGATTCTAATTGAAGATTGGCAAACGTGAGTATTTTGGTATTTTTTTAGAAAAACATTATGTTTTTTTATCATAAGCTTCAAATGGAGTGGAATTTTAGTGTACTGATCACCTCCACTGAAGTCCTATAAAAGGCACAGGTTTCCAAGGGAGATCATACCTGTGCATAACAAAGTGAATAACTAGAAAGAAGAGAAAAAGAAGACTGAAATGAAAAAAACAAAAAGCAGCTATGAGAGAAAAATAAGAAGAGTGTAAGACAAAGAGAAGCAATCAACCCCCCATGTGCTTCTAGTACACAATTTGCTTATAACACCTGGGAACTTCCTACCAACCATAGCCGCCTAAATGCTCACAAGCTCCCCTGTTCCACCAAATGTCTCAGCTTATGTTCTCCCTAATTATCTGAAAACTGTAGATTAATAACTACATAGATAGAGTTGGAGCTGTAACTGGGTGAACTGGATGGAAAGTGTGATGGGAATTAGAGAATATGACTGAAGGATTCACGTAAGCTGTTGTTTTCTCCCTTTTCTCTCCAACTACAACACAACCCAATTTTTCACTCTGAAAGAAAGTGTACCTGCCCAATTCCAAAACCAAAACACTTTGTCTTAAGATACTGGTGTGGTTGCTAAGTAACAGCAACGTCATTTATCTGCCACATCACTCACACACACGCCTCATGAACACATGGAAAGTGGTTATGAAAAATCTTATGGTACCCATATATTAAGATATGTATTAAGATAATACTTCTCAAGAATGAATTAAAAATGTTCTGAGAAATTTTAGGTAGTACGATAAAAAGAAAAAAAAAGCTTATAAAAACATTTATATATTGACAAGTTAAAATCAATAGGCAGGTCAAACAATCAGGCTGTTACTGCCTGGAGTATTGAGAATAACTAGGAAGGAAAGACAAATCTCCAGACTCAACAGCAAAGTTTAATGGGAAGGTTCAAGATGCTATCTGCATCCAAAAGGTATAATCTCAGATGGAAAGAAAGCTCTCTGTAATAGTCTAACTCTAGACTAAGTAAAACCAGAATTGTACCCACTGGAGGTAAGTCATGGTTAAATAATTGGAAATTTCATCAGGTAAAGATTAGGAAGCCAAATATTAAAAAAGAGAAAGTAAACGTTAAATTTGTCTAAGAAGCAATAAACTTTCAAAAGAAAGAATGGGTCTTTTGGACTAGAGAGAAGCGAGCAAGGAACATGAGGGCAGAGCTGAGAAGCTCTGATTTCACACTGGACTGCGTCAGTTCAGACTGGACTTACCCCAGATACAGTCTTTCAGGTTATTAAAATGTTGTCAGAAGATATTGAAGGCAACTGATTAACTGAATAGGAGAACAATTAGAACTAGATAGGTTAAGAAAAGAATGAATGAAGTTGCTAAGCTACTATTGGAAGTTTTCTTAAAGTGGCCTCTTAGAGGACTGAAAAGTAATACAGGTATCAGGAATAACCCTGGAAGTTATAATACAACATGTCCTTTTTACTTTAGCTAAATGAGTTAAAATTACCATAACATGTAAAACACCTCTTCTGACACAACTGTGCAGTTCCTGCTACAGAACATGTATGGTGATGAACCCTTCTAAATGTGTTCATGTACTTCTGTGTGCTCACAGTAATAATTTCAAGTCTGTAAGAACTCAGCAGCTCTCTTGCAAACTTCAGTGGTCCTTACCCATTTCAGCTATGGCTGTCCAAACCACAGTTGTCTTCTTGGTGTTCTTGTAATGAGAAAGGTATTTATTTTCCTGTATCATGGCTGAGATAACAGGTTTGTCACAGAGTTGACTATTCACAGAAACTTTTCATTTGTCAGTGTACCAAACTGCTATTTTAAATCTTCTATTTCTAAGCTGACTTCTTGTGAACTTGTCAAATTGGAACTGCTTTCCTCTCTGTCAGTAAAACCACTCAGTTTTTCAATTCAGTCCCTGCTGCTTCTTAGTTTAAATCTCTTCCTTTTGGAGAATATCTATGATGGTTCCAATTAAATGGCACTACCCTAAATTTTTTTCCCTCATTTGAAATGTTTTTTGTTTTGGTTTTTTTTTTTCAGCACAGTAGTTATGAAACATTAAACAGAAAGTAATAATTTGCTTGATTCTACTTTTAAAAGAGAGAAGAGATAACAATAGTCAAAAAATCTACCAGATGGTTCTTTTAATAAATACATTAAAGTCTCTTTTATTTTTCTCCATTTTTAGCGATTAACATAAAAACTTTCAGACCATCAAACCAGTTTTCACAATCTGCCGTAAATTCGCATTTCACAGAAATAATCCTGACAAGCACTAATAGATGAACGTTATTGGTGCAATAATAAAACAATATAAGGCATATTTACACCATCCTTACATACAGAACACTGTACACACAAAAAAATCACAGGTCCAGAACAAAGTAAATTCAATCCCTTAGACGTTTTACGTTTATAGGCTTGGTATCAAACAAATAGTTCTCCAAGCAACAGACAACCTCTTGTTCTTGTGTGATTTATTTGTAACATTGTGCTCATGCAAAATAGGTATTTGCTTTATTGCATTAACATTGAGAGAATGTTGAGAATTAGTTCCAAAATCTGTTCAATTGAATTTTAAACCCTGTTTCTCTTCATCCTTAGTAAGTCTGAGTCATCTTTATTGGTGACATAAAATGAGATGTTAACTGATGATTGAGATTTTTATTTGGTAAGTTCCAAAACAATAATGAAGCCCAACTGACTACAGTTAGAAAACCATCTTTCTTAACCATGCACTTTTTTCTTTGCTATTATGAAGTGGTTTAGATGAGATGTCTCTTGCATTTTTTAAGTTTCTATCTTTTTATATATATTTTTAAAGAAAAACATGTACTATCCAACATCCACTGTTCACAGAAAGATATAAGCAGCAGGAATAGCTCTGGTGGCAGAGTTGGCCAGAAGGAGGACATCAGTAAGTTAGTGGCAATGTAATAAACATCAAATGCCCCAGAGATATGTCATGAAAGAGTTGATCACTATAACCCATATTTCTGTAAGAGTTCGGATTGCCAGGGACGTTTGCGCTCTGGAAAGTAATCTGGAATGTGGATTTTTTTAAAATCTTGGATACATTTTCTCATTTCTTCCTCAACACTCAGCTTCTCACACACCTTCTTTTTGGAAAGATTTGTTTCTCTGGACTTGCTAATGAGAGTTTGAAAGAGTTCACTGTTCCTGCGTTTGTCTGGAGGTGGCATCCACTGTACTGGGGCCTTCTTAGATGGACGATCCAAAGTCAGAGTATTTGGCTGGTGGGCTGTGGATGGTTGAGTGCTGGTGGCGTTTTCTTGAGGGGTGCTGGCTTCCGAGTGGCTGTCACAGCTTGAGGTGGACAACTCATTACAGGAAGTCCCACTTTCACTGCCCTTGTCCAAGACTTTGTCATGTTTTCTTTCTTCATGGTCTTGTTTTGGGGAAACGGTTCGCTGGGGGGGCCCTAATACAAGGCAGGAGAGAAAAAGTATTAAGCAAGCACTGGTTTATACAGAAAACGGATCAGATACCATTTAGAAAAATGTGATTCAGGGTCTTGGCTGGCATAAATTGGTAGCATTTTGTTGTAGGTAAAAGAACTATACCCAACTAATACACAAGTTGAAGGTCTGGTCCTCAAAATTCTCACTCTTAAAAATGTTTACAGAAAGAATAACTTCACTGCCTGTCTGAGAATCCAGGTAATGAAGTGTGCATAATGTTCAAGAATTAGCTGCAGTGGAAATCCTTGCTGGTAAGTTTAAATGAGCTAGTTTCCTATTATACTGCACGAAGTTTATTATGATAAATTAGATTTTGGCATATTAGGGAAATACTACTGTACAATTTGCATGGTCTTCACTTGAATAAAAATATTCCAAGGGCTTAGATTCATCTTTTTTTTTTTTTTTTTTGGAAGCTCCTGAACAGTCTACTGATACTATTCTCTGCAGATGTCAACTCTGCAGAAGCCCTGGACCGAAAAAGGAGTATCAAACCTTGAATAACAGAGTGATCACTCACTGTTGACAGTCTTTCGGGGTTTTTTTTTTGTATCCTACAGTGATTTCACCACACTTCTTACTGTCACTTACTAGCCCAGACTTGCCTTGGTGCAAGCTCAGAATTCAGCCATACACCTCTTACCGCACAAGCTGGCAGGGAAAAGGCAGTTATGAAGTTATGAGTACAGAGGCACTCTGCCATGGCTGGTAGAGCGGCCTGCCAGCCTCTTGGCAGGCACTGCTCAGCACTTCACACGCCTGAAAATTAAATCTAGGCTGTTATTCTCTCCATATATCTTTTTTGCTTTGTAGTCTTAAGCAAAATGAATATGAAAATTGGGTGGTAGCCGCTAAATCTGTGCGAACATTTTCATTTTTGAAGCCTTATTTCAACACTCCAGATGTGAAGTGAAATTATGATATGCTGACATCACATAAACGTCACAATCTTAATTAGGACACTACCTTGAGCTGACAGAAATATCTACAGATTTCAAGTGGTGTTGGATCAGACCAAAGGGAAACATTTCAAAGATGTTTAAACATCTAAATGAAAATGTACAGTGGGGCTTCAATGGCAGTTGTGTGATGCTACAAATCCTAAAAGTGTCCAAATAGGTTAGGTATCTAAATATCTTACAGTTTACCCAGACACTACCAGCATCAGTTAGCTGCCTTTGGCTAGACCAAAAGTCAGGGTATGACAGCTCTACCTTGAGTCACTGGGACAGAGTTGGCAGGAGCTTTTTGATTGACTTAGTATTTTGTTCTGAATTACAAATTAGAAATACAATTACAAAGAATGTAGAAGCAATGTGAACGCTCCAGTGTCTTTTTGACAGTGTAGTTCTATGATTCAAAGGAATCTAAGAAGATTGAAATATTTTATGAGACACAGGGGAAAACAAAACAAAGCAAAACACAAAGGAAAATAAAGAATAATCTAACAACAGCAGCACTGAACAACCTGCTTTACTTTTGTTTTAGCCAGCATCCCAGGATGCCATGTCATGTTTCTGTAGTCCGTCTAGAGAAACCCATGAATAACCAAGAGCCAATGAGAGGTAACAATCCATCAGGGCTTGTATACATTATGCAGAATGAAAAACACAAGCAGTTTTCTACTTCATTATATTCAACCCAAATATTTAACACATGGCTTCAGCGATTTCCCTCCTCCTTCTCTTCCAGAAATATGTTCACCTTCTTAAATAGATTTACATGACTTCCTTCTATTGTTGTGTCTGGCATTTCATACCTCAAACTATTATATGAATATGCTAAATTGACAGTCAGCTGGCATTACGGAACTACTCTGGCTTTGCAGCATGCAATTATAGAAGAGAGTAGTTAATCAGACAGTGATTTCAGTATCGTCACTCTAATTTTCCATAACATGATTAACATCAATATCTAATCTAGTTTACAATCTTGGCTTCTTCAAATATAACAGCCCACTCTAAGACGAAGACACTAAAGTTTTCTGTTAGCAATATTTTGTAGTCTTCAACTCTCTTTCCTGCCCATTTTTTTTTTGCTGTAACTTCATACATCAAGATGTTATTTCTTGTTGGTCTCATTATACTTAGTTCTTTATTGGTATTCCTTGCTTTTCATGGGCTAAAATCTGCAATGGATCAACTAAGGATCAATTTCAAAAAAGCACTGCACACCTTCAAGAATACAAAAAAATTCCATTTTCTGCTGTAAGATTATTCAGCAGTGTGACAATAGGCAGGTATTTAAATGCTTTTTTGGATCACAGCCCTGAGATTCAGTACCTTACATCACTGAGCTCTGTATGCTTCACTGAATTGCCTAAATTCAGAATTACGTTAATCCAAACACAAGTTTCTCCCACACCTCTCCTTTTAAAAATTAACAAATCCTCCCTCACAAAGAATTCTTTATATGCCTCTGCACTGCTTTCTCAGTAGCGTGTTATTAACAGAAGCAACAGTTCTGCTAGAGGGGAGGTTTTTCTCACAATATTTTCTGCCTACTGAAACTCAAAAGAATTTTTTAAATACATAGGAAAGAATCCTCAAAAGATTTGTTTAATTTTCAACATCAGGGATTATCAGATAAATTTAGCTACATTTCTAATTCAGAAAACATCTTCTTATTGCCCTCTATGCTGCCACATTCTCCTCTGTACCTCCTCAGCCATTTCGGAAGAACACTAGAGATATTCAGACAGTTCAGTCTACCTAAAACTACTAATTTTCCAGGAGTGCAGAATAGTTCTTAAAAACACAGAGAAAGCATATTCGCTTCATTGTGCACATAGGTTGGAGAAGACCTTATAGATCAAGTCTAACTATTAACCTTACACTGCCAAGTCCACATATGACACTAAAAAAATCACTGATTTACAACCTGTCTCTTCTGCTCCTGCCCCTTCTGGGATCTCCGACCTGCTGCTGGTTCCTCATCTTAGAGAAGTTGGAATTGAGTCACTGTATCTTGTTCCTCTCCAGCTCATTCTCCTCTACAAAGTTGCCCTCTCTACTGACCAGTTCTTCAAAACCCAGGTAGCACTTCTCCAGGCAGCTCCAGTAGACATTAATCTTCTTAGTTCTTCTTTTTCCTTTAATGTTCTTAAATGGATACATGTCTCTTAGAAAGTCAGAAAGTGAACTGGCCCTTTTCCTGGGCTTACTCACCACCTCTACTATGATGGTGTCATGGTTTAACCCCACGCAGCCACCAAGCCCCATGCAGCTGCTCACTCACTCCCCCACCAGTGCGATCAGGGTGAGAATTGGAAAAGTAAAAGGCAGAAAATTTGTTGGTTGAGGTAAAGACAGTTTAATAGGGAAAGCAAAAGCACACATGCAAGAAGGAAACCAAAGAATTCATTCACTGCTTCCCATGAGCAGGCAGGTGTTCAGCCATCCCCAGGAAAGCAGGATCCCATCATGCATAATGGTTACTTAGGAAAACAAACACCATAACTCCAAACATCTCCACTTCCTCCTTATTCCCCCCACTTTATATTCTCAGAACAATATCATATGGTACGGAATATTCCTTTGGTCAGTTTGGGTCACCTCTCCTGGCTGTGTCTCCTCCCAGCTTCCCATGCACCCCAAATCTCCTCACCAGTACTGCGGTACGAAAAGCAGAGGCAGCCTTGGCTCTGTGTAAGCTCTATTAAGCTCAGCAATAACAAAAACATTTCTATATTATCAACTCTGTGTTCAGCACAAATCCAAAACACAGTTCCACACCAGCCACTGGGAAGAAAATTAACTCTACCCCAGTCAAAACCAGCACAGGTGGCTACTAGACTTCCAAGTCTGGTAGACTCAAAAGAACATCTTGAAGATATTTTTCTGATCAGGAAGGCATAATTACATTTACTTTGGCTGTATTTATTCCTAATCTGTGTTGCTCTCTGCACAGATTTTAGCCAGTATTTCCTGATAGAACTGACTGATAAAAGAATCACTTTCAATTGCTACAAAATATGCATGGAAAATTATCTAGAAACTTATAAACTTAATTCTCTGAAGTGAAAATCTGCTTCTACCAGTTATGACAGCCAAAACAGAAACTAGAAGTCCTCTCTGAATTCCTCAACAAACACTATCTGAGCAACAGAACACGGCAAATACCACAGCAAACCATCCACTGGCCAAAAATTGTTTGTTGAAAATTGTAACCATGTACTTCTGGAAGTCAAATAAACATTACATAAATTGTTGTAGATATTCATGAAGTGCAGTCTAAATAACTAACTGGACATTTTTTTAGCTCTGTCTCCTGCATCAGGAAACAAATACCACACTGGGCACAGTAAAAGAATAAAACAATGATCTTCTGCTTATCTATATTTCAATTTTTGTACGTACTTATTTTCTTAAATATTAATACAACAACCTTAAAATAAAGGAAACTATATTCAAATCCAATTAACCTGAATGCTCCATAACATGGCTTCACGAAGAGCAAATCCTGCCTGACCAACCTTGGGGCCTTCTATGATGGAGTGACTATATCAGGGGACACAGGAAGAGCCATGGATGTCATCTACCTGGACTTTTCTAAGGCCTTTAACATAGTCTCCCACAACATCCTTATCTCTAAACTGGAGATAAATGGATTTGATGGGTGGACTCTTTGGGGGATAAGGAATTGATTGACAGTCACATCCAGGGGGCAATGGTCAATTGCTCAATATCCATATGGGCATCAGTGACAAGATCTGTCCCTCAAGGGTCTGTAATTGGACTGATACTCTTTAATGTCTTTATGACATAGATGAAGACGAAGATGAAATATAAGATTCATAGATGAATCAAGTGTTCCCTTAGCAACTCTGCAGATGACACCAAGCTGAGTGGTGTGATTGACATGCCTGAGGGATGAGATGCCATCCTGAGGGACTTGGACAAGCTTGAGAAGGGGGCCCATGGGAGTCCCATGAGGTTTAACAAGGCCAAGTGCAAGCTGC